ACACACACACACACACACACACACACACACACACACACACACACACACACACACACACACACACACACACACACACACACACACACACACACACTCTCAGATGCAAGTTGAAATGGATTTCTGTGATAAGATATTCCTGGTAAAGTACTCCGGTGTGAAAGCACCTATTGCCTCCAGACGCAGTTGAACTCCATCTGTGGTTGTTTATCTTCGACGTGTGATCTGTGATGGAGGCTGAGGTGGATTGAAGGTGTGTGTGTGTGTGTGTGTGTGTGTGTGTGTGTGTGTGTGTGGGGGGGGGGGGGGGGGGGGGTTAGTGCTATTTATCACTACATTACCTCCTTTCTGTCTGGGAATGCAGCCAGCGTATACAGTGTATATCGCTTCAAGGAGTTTTGGTCTAGACTGAAATATTTTGAAACCTTTTGGATGGATTGTCGTGACATTTGGAACATACCTTCCTGTTCCCTGAAGGATGAATTCTGAGTTTTACTATTCTGTCTCAAACTCAAGGCCCACGGACCAAATCCTGCCACTGGGACACTTTTACCCCCCCTCATATCAAAAGTCCAATTAACAATATTCCAACATTGTAGCATATGTGGTTAATCAGGGTGCATGAGTTTAGCTAAATAGCAAAGTTTGTTTGTATTTTTAAGGTTTTTAAAAGAGTTTTCTGTATGGGACATGCAAACTACTGATTTGGGTGTATTGTCCATATTATGCTTTGTGGGGTTTCCCTTTCCTTTAGTGTGTTATATAGGTTTTGGTGCATGTAAATGGTCTGCTAAGGCTAAAATCCCTGTGTTCCCTCCAGGGGGAAATGCCTTAATTTGACTGCTTTGTTTACTTCAGTAACATAGTGACATCACTATGTAACACTCACGCTTCTATTGGATAGCGCTCCAACATATTATACGTGATAGGCTAAGGGGCGGGACATCCCTAAGCCATTAACCAATCACAACAGAGCCGGCCAGCTAACCAATCAGAGCAGACTGGGCTCTGGTTTCAGACAGAGGGTGAAAATAGGTGCTGCAGCACAGGAGGTAGGAGGAAAATAAAGAGCTTTTTGAACATTAAAGCATGGAGACATGTCACAGGAGAGACACTATACTGTACAAATATGAACAATATTTTTGTATTACATTTTTTTAATGAATACAGTTATTACTATCAAACAAACTTGAAGAAACCTTCAAACAGCCTCAGCTTCCACATGTCATTTCCTCTTTGTTTTATCTACCGTTTCTAATTACTGATATGTTTGACAGTTTTACATTTTCAATCATCTGGAGATTGGACGTGATTTGATTAATCAAGCGTTCAATCAGTATATAAACATTTAACATCTGAGCTTCAGAGGAAACGCTGTGATGTAAAAGCCAAGAGTTATTTCACTCATGAGAACCTGCACGCTGACTGTGAATCTAAACGTTTATTCACTTTGACCTTCATCGCTCTGTTGAAATCTGCTTATCATTTGATGTTTGCTGTTTTGTTCATTAGTCATTAGTTCTTAAATAAATGTGTGAGCCTTCTGTCGTTTGTTAGTCCTGCAGACGAGTCCTTCTGCTTTACATCCTTTCACAAGCAAACTCAAAGGAGCTTTATTAGCATCAACGTTTCAAGAACAATGTTGTGTCAAAACATTTGGACGTGACACAATAACAATCAAATAAACATTAACATAATATTAACATTGATTTATGCACATGTGTTTGGGTGGGGGTGTAAAGCTGTACCGAATAAAGTTTGTCTTACAATCAAAGTTTCTATAAGCTTTGGGTGTTTGGTGTTATATTTGAAGACGTCATCACCCTTTTATAGACTTTAAAACATATTTTAAAATAAATATCTTATCCTTTTTTTTTTTTTTTTTTTTATAGTGTGCATGTTTGTTGCTAGCTTAGCTTAGCATACTTGCTGTAAACATTGGGAAACTGCTAGCATGGATCTTTCCAAAGATAAGTAAATTAATCCACAGGGATCTTTAAGGCTCACAAATGAACGGGTTATGTGTTTCATAATTACAAAACCCCAACGGCGAAAAGGCAGGTTATGGTTTTAGTGAGGGTTATATGTCAGATTATTTTCGAGCTCTGAGCATTCGGCCGCCAACCAGCAGACTTCAGGAAGTCACTGTGCCTGGCCAAGAAAGAAATACCTCCGACATCAAAAGTCTAATTGACACTTTTAGGTGTTTTTCTCATTAATTTAATGATCAATGCTAAGTGGACTTGAGCCTGTTTATTTTCGTAATATTGGGCAGCAGCAATGTCATACAACAACTGTATGTTCCAAGTGTGTATATGCAGAGGTGGGAAGTAGTGGAGTACAAATACTTCGTTTCTGTACTTAAGTACATTTTTCTGGTATCAGTACTTTACTCCACTACTTATTTTTCTGAAGAGTTTTTACTTTGACTTCTTACATTTTTAACACAAATACCTGTACTTTCTACTTCTTACATTTTCCAAACAGGCTGGTTCCTTTAGTTTGAATGTGTGTTTGGTGGCGTGATCATTATTATTTAGAGTCATTGCGTGCCTATTGATTTGAACACGATCCGTGTATCCATCATTTCCTGGTCTTCTCTAAAGAAGAGGGACCAATGAAAACGTTGTCATGTTTCCGTTGTTCAGCATGGAAACATTCATTAGCTAACAATGACATTATTGTTCTATTAATATAAAGGGAGGTCAGGTACTCTTTAAAACAGCTGCTAGTTATGGGTACTTTTTACTTAACCCTTAGATGCACGAGTGACTGGACCCTACACTCTTCCATAAGTGGGTCAAAAAGGACCCGTATTAGAATAATATGTTTTTATGCCATTTTTGTCATTTTGGTTAAGAAAAATCACTCGTATAATATTTAGTATTATATTTTGGTTCACACTAGAAATATTTTATATTTAACTTTTCACTATTTATAATTTTAGTAATTTTTGTTACATTTTTGACCCACTTATGGAAGCTTGGGGTAGTAATACAAAAACTACAATTTCTTAAAATGTACATTTAAAATTAGAATGGCATGATATCCAAAACATGTTTTTTGAGGAATAGCTGGAATATGAAATGATAAAAAAAATATAATTACAAAGATACTTCAAGAAAACCACCTCACCGGGTCAAAAAAGACCCACTTGTGCATCTAAGGGTTAAGTACATTTCGAAGCCCATACTTCTTTACTTTTACTTGAGTAAAGAACTTTAGGCAGTACTTCTACTTTTACCAGAGTATTTTTAAACACGAGTATCTGTACTTCTACTTGAGTAAAGGATGTGTGTACTTTTGGTCTGTATGTTTCAGATCAGAACATAAATCTCCAACCCCTCAAGAGTTCAATTTGACCAAAAAGGGACCTGATCGTTTCCTGTGTTTTGTTGCCCCTTTGTGTTTTGACCAGATGATCCCTGCTGTCACGGAGGAGGTCCATGAAAGATGGATTTGCTCCTGCACTCACTGCAGCTTTTTGTTGATGTTTTCATTTAGTGAACAGACAGCAGCGTCCTCGCCCCCTGCTCGGCACTTTAATCCAGGTAGAACGAATAGAGGGATTAGAAAAGATGAGACATGATGGAAGAGGGTCACAGCGTTCGGCAGGATGTTGTCAGGTGGAGAGAGGTGAAAGGAGGAAAGCTTTAATCAGAACAGCCTCTCCTGCTCTTCCTGGAACATGACGCTGATTTCTGCGGAGGGAAGGTGAGACCGGCCGGAAAATAAACCTCTGAGTGCAACACCTGCTGTTTATCCACCTGTTTCAGCCACTCTGTGTCTCCAGCTCTGCTGCGTTGTTCATGGTAAACACAGCCTCATAAAAGGTACATCTGAGCTATTCTATGGTAAAGTGTGCCATGAAAATGTCATATAAAGTGATAGTTTAATGTTATAGTAAATATGTCAAAGAATAGTATGCCTTAAAGGTTATCAAAATATCATAGTATGGTAAAAGATATAAAATAATCATGAAATAGGTCAGAGTAAGGTATGTGAAGAAGTCACACAAAAGGCCAGATTAAAGTTTGTCATTGAAAAATGTCATAGAATTTCATAAATATCTCAAAGTATATATTGTAGAAAATAAGTCACAGTAAGTTATGTGAAAATTCTAGTTTCCAGATGTCTTGACACTGCATCTCTTTGGCTTGTATCTGTACTCTGCAATCACAATAAAGTTTAATATAGAGAGAAAATGCTCCAATGAGCCGTTTAACTTGAGGTGTGCATTATGTTGAGAATACAGGTAGTTTTGAGCGCTTTAGATCAGGGGTGTCAAACTCAATTTCATCGCCGGCCACATTAGCATTATGGTTGCACTCAAAGGGCCAGTTGTAACTTTAAGATTATATAGATATATAATATATATAAAATAATGTATTATATTACATTATTGCCTCTGAATTGGATTATTATCGGATAGGGTAATAACTTTATAATTAACTACGTCTGAAGGCAAAAGTCTATGGCAAATAATTGCAAGTCTCTTCAGTGCGCATGTCACAAAATGAGATGCATTGTGGGACATGTAGTTTATGGGCAACGTGCTTCTGTAAAGCGGCATGTAACCATATAATAAACTAATCATATTCTTTGCAAGCTCTTACATTAAATGAAGTCGCGGGCCGGATTTGGCCCCCAGGCCCCCGGACACCCCTGCTTTAGATATTACACCAACTTGTGAATGCCAGTCAAAATAAAAAAATACACCCTCAGATTTCCTTATTTTCATCTAAAGTAACAGACAGAGAATCAGCACTTTTGGAACAGGGCTGAAGCAGAGGGGATTATGGGATGCTGCAATGATCTGTTTGGTGTTTGGAGCCAAACACTTCAGAGACATGTTTTGTATATATCTGAGACCTGTGATATATTGATGAAAAACAGTATAATAGGCGACCTTTACATGGGAAAAAAAACATGGATTTTACCTCAAATAAACAAATTATTTGCTACAAGAACAAAAAGAGACTTCACATAAACTGAGAAACAGATTTACAGAAGAAAAAAGTCATTTTAATAAGTGTGTATATGCATATATATATATATATATTAAAAAATCAGCATTGTACAGTAAATCTGTTGTCCAACCCCATCCGATCACTTTGAAATCATAAAAAATATATATATACATTTGCAGGAAGTCAAAGATTGGCTCAACATTTGATAACCTCTGAAATAATCACAGTTCACTGGTTGTCTTTGTAACTGAAACAAAGTCCAGAGTTGTATTGAGGACCTTTTTCACAACTCATTGTCATATCCAGTCTTTAAATCTTTATCTTTGTAAAAGCACGAGGTGAGAACAATCACTTTACGTGGATTCATCTCGCCTCCCTATCATTTATTATAGAAAAACAAGATTTTTAAGACATTAAAAAGTTGATTAATGTTGTTGAAATCTACTTCATTCTCTTCACAGGGTGATTGGTTGGTGATTTTAAACAGAGGACACCATCTGAAATGTCTCCTCGCTGGATGATGAGTCTTTCAAATCCAACAACATGTGAATTGAAATCTAAGAAGCCTTTTCTGTAGGGATAATCTCTGTGACTTGTGCACATGTGTCATGATTCAGAACATTTTAAGACAAAGAGCTGAGAGGCTGCCAACAGAGCGGGACAGATTTAAAGAGGCGCAGATTGAGAGACTGAATGAGAGATTCCTCCCAATAGAGAAACACACATTTGTTGTGATAGTGTTCAATCTTTGGGTGGCAGACAGCCGGGGTTCGCTTCGTTATGACCGATTTAATATTTAGACACTTAAAAGGAATGTTTTAAAAGTTTAGTTGATTTGATTTGCAATGACCCTGATGAGGTAAACCCACCAGTCCCATCATAATGCAAACGACATGTGCTTAGTGAGAACACCAAGCAAAAAAGAGACAAAATTATCAGTTTAAAGCGGCCCTATTCTGCTTATTACAGGTTCATGTTTGGACTTTGTGCCTCTGTGATGTTTACACGCTTTAATGTTTCAAAAGGTCTTTTTTTGTACCTCTTTTCGCCCTATGTCTGAAACCAGAGCCCAGTCTGCTCTGATTGGTTACTTGGATGGCTCTGTTGTGATTATGAAAACCCTTTGAATGCAGAAAAACAAATATAACACCCTACAGGAAAGGCAAAACCCCACAAGAGCATAAACAAATGTGAAACTCCATTGGCAAGATGAGGAGAAAAATCAGTACCCTTTAAAAGCGAACATCAGAGGAAGCAGAGCAGATGACATTAGCCAGCGTTTCAGAAAGAGATAACATTGTGGGGCAATGGGAAAGCAAAAACATGAGACAATTGTTTTAGAAAAAGTTGTAATAAAGTGAAAAATGCACACGATACGTTCCCAGAGACCCTTGGTGATTCATTATAATGTTCTGCAACCAAAAGTCCAAAAAGTGTTCAAAATGTGCCGATCCAAAACAAAAAAAGCAGCATGATATTTGAGAAACTGAAAGAAATCATTGACGATTCATTGATCCGTTGATTGAGCATTTGATTCATTGTTTCAGTGCTACTTTTATCAACCGTAGTGACAAAAAGGTGGGTAAACCAAATGAATACAGTAAACTAGTGCTGCCTTCAAGACACACCATAACGTGGGAAATTACAAACTTCCTGCAAGAAAACATGTTGTCTGGATTTGAAGCGTTTGGTGATATTTAGATAAAGAGTTGGAAGGGAAGAGGGATACCACGTTCATATTTGTGCATTAACATAAAAGGTAAGAACCTACCAGCTCCTTCAAAGCTCACAAACGTACAGCTTGTTTGTTTAATTCGTACAAACTAAATGTAAGACGTTTTTTCATTTATTTAGCAAACAAATATGAGTGTTGTCGACCGTCTTATTTAATGAAAGCCAATAGGTAATGTAGAGTATTCCTTTGAGTTGAACATTGCTATTTGTTGTGATATAAAGTTGATTCGATGTTACCTAGCTAAGCTTCAATAGACAGAGTGTTTCTCTCCTCAGGGTTTCTCTGATTGTGACTGCAGGACAGAGGCGGTTTTTAACAACGGTGTTTTCCAGCTTCAGCCTGAGAGAAACTGGAGGAGACGATGTGGAAATCCAGACCGACGTCATTTCACTGCAGCATTTGAAAAAGTCTGATAATATTCTGAGCGCAGACGTCTGATACGACCGCACGATGGAAAACGCTTTGAGGCTTCACATGATACTTCATATTGCGGGAAGTTTGAGCAAAAAGCAGTCTTGGTGTAAGGCATAATCCAGAAACCAGATCCACGAATAGTCTGTGGAGAGAGAGAGAGAGAGAGAGAGAGAGAGAGAGAGACCGCTCAGCCGACCACAGGCTGCTAAATCTGTCCTTTTGGCAGAAACAGAACAAAAGGAGAGTTTCCCAACAAAGGGTCAGAGCCTTCAGGAGGTCAGGAGGTCAGGAGGTCAGACCACACCGTGAACGTGAAGGTTCCCACTTTACGAGCTGAAAACGTGTCGTTACTGGAGGGTCGAATCGATCTGCTGTCACAGACTGGAGGAGTGGGAGGGGTGGTACGGTCCGTTTACCTGAGAGAGAGAGAGAGAGGGGAAGGAGAGAGAGAGAGAGGAGAAGGAGAGAGAGAGAGAGGAGAAGGAGAGAGAGAGAGAGGAGAAGGAGAGTTAATACAGAGTTATTTAAATGGTAAAACCCACAAATGGTCAATATGGAGAATAGAATATACATTTATTTGTCATCATACAAAGTACAACATATATTGCATATTGCATATTTACACTTACAGTCTAAATATATATTAGTAAAATAGCCCAGTGTTTCCCATACATTGATTTATTTGTGGCGGGCAGCCACAATTAAATATCGTCCGCCACAAAAAATATTTTTTTATTTTGGTGTTCTAATGGATAGTGAGGTGGGCTGATGATCGGAAGGTTGCGAGTTCAAATCCCACCTGGAACACCACCACTAGTGTGTCCGTGAGTAAGGCACTTAGCCCTCAGTTACTCCAGGGAGAATGTCCCTGTAATTGGTCATTGTAAGTCGCTTTGGAATAAGGCGTCTGCTAAAAGCCTAAATTGTAAATTATATTTTTGGGAGAATAGACCCCACAGATCCTCAACTCCGGTGTGTCTCACTCATTAACAACGCAACACAGAGCAACGAGAACGTTGTCTACAGTAGCCATGAACTCGCATGTATTTTGTTTTTTGAGGGGGGGGGGGTGGATGCGTGGGCCACCCGAATAGGTTAAGGTGCCTTTGGCTTTTCTTGCCGGGGGGGGGGGGGGGGGGGAAACACTGTAGCCATAAGTATGTCTAAATAGTAGTGCTTGAGGTAGAACTGTTTCAATAATATTTGTGGGAACAGATTAATAATCCATGTGTGAATGTGTATTCTGTAAAGGTTAAAATAACATCCACAAATAGAAAAAAGATTTGTAAACTCCCCAAAAAATGTTGCAAATATAAAATGGATCTGAAAATATAAAAAAATTAAACTAAAACTGTGAATACATTAAACTGATTTACAGATGAAAAGCTTGAATATCTTTCAAACGTTTTCACTTTTGATCAGCTTTTGTAGATCAAGCTTATATTAGTGGTTGTGAGCATTTGAATTTGTCACACTGATGACATGATTTCCACATGTATAAGTAGGAGCATGCAGTCTGTATACCATATTGGAAACTGAGCTTGTTAAATGAAGCTCCTCTGTTACCACTTGCAGCAATAACGTAACATTTTATTGCATGCTTTTTCATTTTGTCTTTATATAAATATATTTGGGTGTGTCAGGTCGAATAAGGTCTACAAATGAGAAACTCCTCTCCTTATTGTGGCGGCAGATGCCTCGGCAAGTCGTGGCATCTGTGGCAGATGCCGGAAGTACTTGCCACTGCCTGCAGATGCCACGAAATGAGCCAGGCCCTACTGCAGAAAACAGTGGCTGAGACCGAGTGGTGCAGAGGGACACATCCTTATTGAAAGTGTTGAAAGGAAGGAATTTCCTCAAGTTTTTGGCAGAAACCCCAGCAGTTTATCATCAGAGGACACAAAATGTCCCTTTTTTTCCCGTGCAAATTAACTTCCTCTTCACTGTCAGAACCCTGATGCTGTGCCAGGGCAGACGCCAGAGAAACAGTTCTATCAAACTAACGGAGCGAGAGCTGGGCGGGTTTTTCTCTCTGAGGAAACACCATCTCCCAGGTTTAGTTTCTGTTCAAAGAGCTCCTCAGTGAAGTGGAGCGGGTTGTTTCTGTACTTCATGTTCAGGGCAGCTCTCCAGGTAAACTATACTTAGCTCACATGTTGCTCTCTCACGCTGCTTATCGGTGTCACTGATAGAGTGTTATATCATCGTGAAATACCATGGGACACGGGGTGGGTAGGTGTGTGTCTGTGTGTGTGTGTGTCCTAGCATTACCATAATTGTGGGGACCGACATCTGTTTACACAGTCACATGTGGGGACTCGCCCCCCTTATGGGGACAAAATGGAGGTCCCCATGAGGGGAATCATTCATTTTAGGGTGAAGACTTGGTTAGGGTTAGGGTATGGTTAAGGGTTAGGGTTAGGGTAAGGTTAAGGGTTAGGGTTAGGCATGTGTTGGTTATGGTTAAGGTTAGGATAAGTCTCCAGGAAATGCATGTAAGTCAATGTAATGTCCCCTGAAGTGATGTATACATGGTATGTGTGTGTGTGTGTGTGTGTGTGTGTGTGTGTGTGTGTGTGTGTGTGTGTGTGTGTGTGTGTGTGAGACTGGTAATACACTTTTAAACTTTGTCCTAAAAATACATGTTCTTTCCGCTCTTTAAGAAGTTTTTATCCTGCATGAATGATTGTTTTTGGGTACTTGGGGGCAACAAAACATGGACATATCCTCACGCTTTATTGTTAACAGTTATTTATTATTATTATTATTATCATGGATATTATTATTAAACAGAAGACCTTTAATCAAACCTGATGATAAAATTAAATCACGATTAAAAGTCATTCTAAAAAAGAGCTTTTCTCTGTTTTTCGTCTCTACCATCTCCTGAGGAAAATGTCACTGCTAGCCTGTAAATATGTCTTTTCGGTTTGGTGCAAACCAGGCAGTGTAACGTGGATTGTTAGCTGCCTGCTGCAACCAAAACACATGTGAAGTAAAACAGTTAAGAGTGACAGCAACAAAATGAGCTCCACTCACTATAAAGCCAATATCAATACAAATATTCTTCTAATTCTGATTGTCTCCGGTGAATAATGATCTGTGCTCACAGCTTGTATATGAAGTGGTGTCTGTTTCTCCTACACTTTTCGCAAACAAAAGGAATCGTTGCTTGGATCCCAGCAGAAACGTAATTCAACCCAGCAGAGCAAACTATAACAGAAACACACTTTGGTGTTGAGAGGAACTTTATTGACCCGTTCCCTTTCTGGCTGCAGTCCTGAAAAACAGGGAAATGCTCGGGACTAAAGCCTTCAGGGAGGCCGGCTCTTTATGTTCACTTTCTCTCCGTTTAGTTCCCGGCAGGAGACTGAGAACGACCCAGAGCCATGGAGGACAACTAAACAGTGAGAATGATTAAAGACTGATCGGTGTAACAACTAAAGCAGCATGTCACCTTGTTCCTACTTCCCGTACCAGGTCAAAGTTCATAATGGGAGGCTGTGGCTCAGTGGGTTAGTGCGCTGAACTTTGAATCAGGGGATAGCAAGTTCGAGTCCCACTGCAGTCAGCATGTCGTTGTGTCAAGACACTTCACCCCAAATTGCTCCTGTGGGGATTGTCCACAGTACTGAATGTATGTAAGTCGCTTTGGATAAAAACGTCTAACAAGTGACATGTAATATAATGTAATAATATATTGTGAAATAATCTATTATTAAACCCCTAATATGTGCAGTCTGTAAGCATTAGGACTGTCTTGTTAAAGCTCTGTTTGTCTGGGAGTTCAAGATTGGACTCTGAGCTTTAATTCGACTTAAGTACGTGAGTAAATGTACTTAGGTTGGCTATTATTTAAGTATTATATAAGATTAATTATATAAACTGTGGTAACTAAGACCCATCTATTTATTTGGTTTTTAATTGAATGTTATTCATTGTTATTTTATGATTTTATTCTTGTTTTATTGACTTCTGTTAGTATTAAGTTTTCTTTTATTTATGTAATATTTAAAAGCCATGTGTGAATGTGTTTATCACCTGGGAAGTGGAGGTGTTTTGAAGCAGTTTGTGTTACCTTATGTGTACGTAAAGTGCTATATAAATAAAGTTTTGATTCAATCAGCCAACGATAAGTACATAAACAACTGCAAAGTCAAAATATATAGAATCAGAAACTCAGTTCGCCAATCACAGATCACGACGTATAAAAACATGATCACAAAAACATTTTAAAAAGGTCACTCTTACAAGGCATTACAACCGAGTATGAAGAAGCGTATTTAAGAACAGTGACCTCCTCTCGCAGCCCTAAAGCCTCGTTAGATCAAAGCTTTTGATACGTATGACTTCATTCAATCATCTTCACATCAGACCCTACATTTCAAGGGGAACTCAACACAGAGCATCCTGGGAAATCTCACTTTAATTGAGTTTGTTGCTGATTTATAAGTTTCATTTCCTAAAATGCACACACACACAATAAACAGGTCATTAGCTGATTGTTCCTCCGCTATTCTCTGGTTCACATCAGCAGTAAGGAAGGCATCAGATGACCGGAAGAGATGAAGGAAAGCTGATTAATAGAGCTGGGAATAAAACACACAAGGGTGTAAAGTTCAAGCTCTTCATTGTTTAGGATTTGGCTGACGAGGGGAAGTCTGCAGGAGTGTTCTGTTTCCAACACAATAAGAGCGGAGAGGCTATACAAAGTATTGCATGTTTTGATACCTGCAAATTCTAAAGACTGATTGGAAACACAAAGAGAAAGCTGCACACAGATAGACTAATACAAGGAAGTCAAAGTTACGAGTAAAAGGAAGTCGTTCACTGACACCAAGGGTGTTTCTCAATGTCGAGGACGCTTGCTTGGTAGCACATGTCTTCCGAGTCACTTGCTTCAGAAGCGAGGCAAGAATACTTCCTGGCATTCGGAAAACAAAGAGTGGAACAGGCGAGCAAGTGTGCGTCATATGAGAGGCCCCGTCTTACATCTTCCGCCACAGATTTGGGGAAATTGGTCCGTGCGCAAAGCATTGTGGGGATTTTAACACCGCAGAGTCTACACATGTGCAGCCTCGAAATTTCTCCAAACGAAGTACGCCGGGCTCGGTAGATTTCCAAGTATGCTGGACATTGGAACAGTCCTTCGGTGGCACTCGATGACGTAGCATGCTTGAAATAGTGGCTCTGGAGCAGCTTTACTCGACATTGAGAAACACCCCAAGTCTTGGAAACCAGAGCTCTTTAAAAGCGGAAATATGCATATTTTTCAAGTCAAAGACAGGGGGTGTTTCTCAATGTCGAGTAAAGCTGCTCCAGAGCCACTATTTCAAGCATGCTACGTCATCGAGTGCCGCCGAAGGACTGTTCCAATCTCCAGCATACTTGGAATTCTACCAGCATACTTCGTTTGGAGAAATTTCGAGGCTGCACATGAGTAGACTCCGCGGTCTTAAAATCCCCACAATGCTTTGCGCACGGACCAATTTCCCCAAATCTGTGGCGGAAGATGTAAGGCGGGGCCTCTCATATGACGCACACCTGCACACTTGCTAGCCTGTTCCACTCTTCGTTTTCCGAATGCCAGGAAGGATTCTTGACTCGCTTCTGAAGCAAGTGACTCGGAAGACATGTGCTACCAAGCAAGCGTCCTCGACATTGAGAAACACCCAGGGAGAGCAAACCAGGAAAATGTTTCTTTCAAATGCAAGATGTATTCCAGATATCTTTCCAGATACAAAGCTCAATTGCTTCAACACCTGTTAAAGGAGAACTTAAAGGATTTTGGAAAGGACTTGGAGTTTGCTAATGATTTCATAAAGTAGTTTAGACTACAGTCATAGAAAAGAGTGAGAGGGTTACAGATCAGGTGTTTTCAAAGTCTGAGACTGTGGGCCTAAATAAAACCTTCAAGAAGGCTTCTCATTAACCTCCTAAGTTTACCGTCTTTGTTTTCCGCGTACTTCCTTGATCATGCAATCATGCTTATGTTATCTGATCTTAGATATTTACACATGAGCTGAAATAGACTAATATTGCCTTTGGACAAAACTTCATACATAATAATACATTTGTTCCTAAGGCATTCATTATACCGATATTTCCACCAAAATAATATTTAACACGGGAAAACCCACAGAAATAGGCGATCCTTTCCCATCGCTAAAGACCAGTGTGACTTTTTTTTCTGGTTGCTTTGAAAGAGAGAATATTGATTGTGTGTGTTGTACAGAAACGTACATGAATATTAATTGTCCAAACCCCTGTTTATATATATTCCTCTTCGATGCACGTCACATATCATTTGCGCAGGGAAAGGGCAGAAAGTTAGCCGGGTGTCGTGTTTCCATGACCCCTTCAACCTGTTCTATGTGAGCTACTTTTGTTATTTAATGTCATATTTTAGCGCTCCTTAAAGTGTTTGAAACCCTCTGTTATAGAATACGTGTCAACGACATCTCTGTGTGCATCTGTGTGTGCATTATTGATGAAAGTGTGTGTGTGTGTCTGTGCGTGTGCGCTGCCTACCCGTGCGTCATAGTCCAGGACGAAGGGAGGGATGTCGATCTGCTCCGGTTGGATGCAGGTGAAGAGCTGCTGCAAGGTGTCCAGGTAGCGAACTTTGTCCTTCAGCCCCGACACGCTGAAGGTGGTGAAGAACCACGTGGAGACCTGGGGAAAAAGACGAAAGAGGGATGAAATACGAAGGGGATATTTCATGCGTCACAGATGCCATTTGCTCTTGATTTACCAATAAACTAATCTTGCTTAAAGGTCCCCTATTATACTGTTTCTCATCAATATATTATAGGTCTCAGATATATACAAAACATGTCTCTGAAGTGTTTGGCTCCAAATACCAAACAGATCATTGCAGCATCCCATAATCCCCTCTGTTTCAGCCCTGTTTCAAAAGTGCTGATTCTCTGTCTGTTACTTAGATGAAAATAAGGAGCCACTCCCCACGCCCCTCTGAGAGATATTTGGTTAAAAAGAACACAATAGGCGCGTTCACACCGGAGTACTTTTCCCACTTTAGTTCCGATATAGTTCCGAAATGTCGCGTTCACACCAAAAAGAGCCGGAACTAAAATTAGTTCATGAGAACCTTTTTACCCACTTTTCCGTCAGTTTTCCGTCCCTGCTAGAGAGCAGGTACTTTCGTGGGGGAAAAAGGTTCCTATGTCTCATTGGCTGGGCGGATTGCGAACCACGCCCCGTAAAACTGGCAGTATACGCCGTGAAGTTGTTTGCGGCCTGCCAGTAAACCCAAAGCAGAAGAAGAAGAAGTGACGTCAGCGGCTTCAGTTGCGTAATCTTCCCTCAGGGACTTATTCCGGTGTGAACGCGATCTGTACTTAGTTCATGAGAACTAAAGAGTTCTCATGAACTAAGTACAGATGAACCTTTGTGGGAAAAGTACTGCGGTGTGAAAGCGCCTAATGGTGCTCTAGGAGGAGATTCAGGTGATACGGTGGGGGGGGGGGGTTACCTTGGTTGGTGATTGGCTAATGGTTACACAAGCCAAAACATCGTTATGACATCATAAAGTGGCCAAAATCTGATCAGCTCATTTTCAGACAGGTTTTTATATAAATGGATCAGGACAAAAAGAGAGAGAATCTTTTTTCCTGAAACTTTCAGAGTCTCTTTTCACAGAGAGGACACATGGTGATGTAGAAGAGACATGAAAAAGAGGATTTAGCATAATAGGTGACCTTTAAGACAAAAACAAGAGTAGACAAGAGACAAGAGAACATTTGAAAAGCCAACAACAGAACTAGATTAAGTTGAATGAACTTTTAATGATCCTAAAAGAGATGTTTAGCAAGTGCAGGAAAAAGTACAGCATTTCTTGTAAACGGCAAAAAAACTGATAAAACCCAGGCGACTAAAAGAGCTCATATCTCCGCCAAGGCTTCACAATTATCTAGAAATCTCGATAAGAAAAATAATCATGTTTAATACGAGTAAAATATTTAGAGGTTATTATTTCTGGACCATGATACGTTTCGGTGGAAGAGCGGCGGATAATTATCCAGATTTTTGGAAGAACCTTTATCTTGGGAATGTTTGGGGTTTGTCCAACGACTAATAATTAGAAATGTTCAGACACATGAGCACAGAGTTATTTAAAATAATCATGTTGCTGGGGTGGTTTTGAAGGGCTGCTGTTTTTATGAAATTGCACAATGCTTTTACTGAAGAAGTCATGGCAGCAAAAGTTAGGTTATTTTTGTTTGAAGAGGCCCGATTATACTTTTTGAAGTGTTTTCTCTTTCCTGTTGGGCGTTATATAGGTTATTTTAGTTTGAAGAGGCCCAATTATGCTTTTTTAAAGGTTTTCTCTCTCCTGTTGTGTGTTATAAGTTATTGTGCATGTAAATGGTCTGTAGAGGCTAAAGTTTCTCTCCCACACACTCCCCCCCCCTGTCTGAAAAGCCTCCATTGGACTCATTTGTTTACTTCAGTAAAATAGTGACGTCACTAAGTAACATTCACGCTGCTATTTGCTAGCGCTCCAACACATTGTACGTGATAGGCTAAGGGGCGGGACATCTCTAAGCGGTTGACCAATCACAACAGAGCCGGCCAGCTAACCAATCAGAACAGACTGGGCTCTGGTTTCAGACAGAGGGTGAAAAGAGGTGCAGCAGGCAGTATGAGAACAATAAAGAGCTTTCTGAACACTAAAGCATGGAGACATGTCACAGTAGAGCATAATATGTCCACTTTAAAGTCAATCAAATTTAAAAAAGATTGGTTAATGTGTTAAGGTTTTGCAAAACAGAGAGTAAAAAGCAATATAAGAAACTATTCTGACATTATGAGCCAAAACATATAGTGAATAATTCAGTTCATATGAATGAAAATAAACGGAACAGCAATAACACTATCACCAACAATAATACTTTCAACACTACTAGTTTACTTTGAATATCTTGTACTGGCACAGAAATATATACAGTGATTGTATCCTGTAGGCTTGAATATACAGTAATCTGTATATTGTAAATATGTAAATGTAAATATGTAAATAGGCTGTGGCTCAGTGGATAGTGTGCTGGACATCGAATCAGGGGGTAGCAAGTTCGAGTCCCACTGCAGTCAGCATGTCGTTGTGTCCCCGGGCAAGACACTTCACCCCAAATTGCTCCTGTGGGGATTGTCCTCAGTACTGAATGTATGCAAGTCGCTTTGGATACAAGCGTCTAACAAATGACAATAATAATAATAATCAATACATGACAGGACGTTACCTTAGAGCGAAATGTTGGATGTACAAAGTAGAAGGCCTTCAAATTCTTCTTAAACCTGCAACACATAAAAGGAAAATAAATGACAGAAAGGACTGACTCATTACTTTTTAAATACAACAGATAAGAGGAAAATAACAAGTTGAGTGAGAATTATGACCATGACTAAGATGAAATCAAAATGATTAATCCGCTGACAGATGAGACGGGACGTGAATGTAATCACTGTGTTTTTTGGGACAGAATCTCACACCTTTGGACTCAAATACAACGTCTACAGAATCAGCTCCAGGCCGTCCATCATCAGCTGAACATTCACAAACATCTGCAGGAAACCAACCTTTATACAAAGCCTTTGAACAAACTCATCAACCCCTCTTTGAAAATTCACTTTTTCCGCTTACAGCCTGAAATCAAAACTTTCATCAACATTCCAGCTTTATGTACAAAGTCTTTCAACAATCAACTGATGAACAAAAACACAATTGTACAGACTTGGAAATGTCAACAGTGCACTGATTTAATACTTCATAGGGTTTACTTCATGTTCACTTCAACACCTGTTGCTTTAACAGTCTGTTCAGATATGTCACAAAATTGTTGTTTAGTCAAATTTCGTGGTGAGTGGCAATGGTCTTCTCTCTTCAAATCCATGCAGAGATGAGCAATAATACATTTTAACTGGTCAAACATAAGCAACGTTGCAAATTGTGGAAGTAGAGTTATTTAATGATTCTACATTGTTGTATTTCAGTCAAGGCTATCACTTGGCTACTCAAGGACATTTTCCATCTTATGTTTCAGCCACTGTGATGTTTTTTTGGTGGTGTGTTCAGGGTCTCTTGCTGAAAGATGAACCAAAAGCATATCTTCATCTGTCAATCAATGAGCTGCAGGTTTTAAACATGAATGTGCGTGTGTGTACTTTGCAGAATCCATCTTTCCCTAATACCTAACTTAAGTCGTCGCTGTAGAGAAACACCTCATGCTTCACAATCAGGATGCTTGGTTTGCTTTTTCCATCAAACATAGTGCTTGGAGTTCAGTCTTTTAAAAAAATGACTATAACATTTTTTATCAGAATCTTCAGTGATTTTCTTTTTGCAAACCAAAAATGAGACACAGTTTGTCCCAGCTTTGTGTGAGCAAACTTAACAATAGACTTGTAAGGCCTTCAAAGTAACCACTAGCCTCTGGGTAGCTTCCAATATCATATTCTCCTAATGTGTGGGGAATCCGAGGGCAATACAATAGAAAACACTTTTAAATGTTTTTGCATCCTTCTTTTAAACTTGTGCTTTTCAAACATTAATCCTGAAGCCCTTTTGAAAAGCACTTGTGTGTAAAGTGCTTCATGTTACCTTTTGCTGTTGATGGTTATAATGTGTACAAAGTCAGATGATTTGTTTGAATATGCAGGGAACATGTGTAGTGTCACTTTGTGGAGACTGCCTAAGGCCAATGTACTTGTCTACAGTGACGAATCCCGATGGACCGGTACTGAAGTGGGCCGGTCGGATAAGTCACTAGCAACCCCCCCCCGTTGATGACAATTTACTAGCGGTACCGAAGTGGGCCGGTCGAGAGTCCCGGGCTGATTTTTAGTCACAGTCCGCCCCTGCTTGTCTATTAACAATTAACCATCTTTCTACAGGAGATAGTTATTAAAGAGCCTGAAGAGTGTGTGCACTGATCGGCGTGAGTAATATTGACTTTGAGTATATAAATAAAGCATTTCTCCTGTCTATTTAAACACTTCTTAAGGTTTGTTTTAAATACAACTCAAATGTAAGCCCCTGATCCTAAACAAATATTGCACCCTGACCCCGATATATATTTACAGTTTCTATTTCCTTCATGCTATAGAGCTCCATTATTGTCCCAAAATCTATTGCCATCAAATATTTAATGCTCTGAAAATGCAATAGCACTTATTTTGTCGCTAAATCATTAAATGTCCAGCTGCTACACTACATAATAATTAGAGCAGCATATGGATATTCATCCCCTGCTGAAAATAGTCCTCCCAAAAAGCACAATATCCTAAAATGAAACTATATATTTGTGATCTGCTTTTAAAAAATCCTTACAAAGTTGGATAACAGTTGAATCAATGCTGTGTCCAATCACTCTGTCATAGTAGCGCCAAATGGACATATTATCGATTAATAGAAAGACGAGAGCTTACAAGTTCAATGTCATATATAGAGAGGCGAAGTCCAGCCCTTCTACTTCCCTTATTTCGGAAAAATTATGTATTGAAGTCAACGGGGAGAGAAAGATTATCTTTCAATCCCGTTTGAATTGTGCCACGAACTACACATATGATGTTTGTCAATCTTAAAAAATAATTTCAATGTCAAAAAAGTCACAGTTTGTCGTAAAACTGTTGAAATATAAGACGATGAAAAATACGCAACTAGAAAGACTACACATCCCAGTAAGTGATGTCATTAACGTTACACATTACACTCGTGTCACTCACCGAAACCTTGTAAAGCCGGTCCCGCATGCTGGCTCTCAGGCCCTTAAAGGCCCCTACACACCAGGCCGATATCGGCCGTCTTGCGTTGTTTGGCGACAACGGGTTCCTTGTCGCCCAAAGTCAATTTGGTGTGTCCCGAACCCTCGGCCGTGACACGCCTTATTTGGCCTTTCACGGTCGACACTCGGCCGATTCAACATGTTGAATCGGCCGGGTGTCGGACACAAGCTATCGGGCCAAGAAACCACTCTGATCAGCTGTTCAGCTAGCAAATGAGAAGCGAAACGGAAGTGAGGGACGTAAACAAACGATTAAAAAAGGCACAGGACAGCAGCTAAACCCCAGCAGGTGATACTTAAAAGACATCAAACATAGCCCTTAAATGTCCTCTCTTACCTCCCACACATAGCAGGGACATCTCTGATATCGGCGGGAGCGTCCCCGGCTGTCCTCTGCTGAGAGCTCCGTGATTTGTTTGGTCAAGTCCGGTTTTTCATCTCATCGTAAATTTAGCAAGAAGTGGCCATTATTACATTGCTGACTCAATAAACTACACACCCGCCAGAACACTGCGATCATCAGATGCAGGTCTATTAACTGTGATTTTATAGTATGTCTGCACTTTATGTGCTCATTTCATCATTCATGTATTTTTATATTCTAAAACATGTTTTCGATGGACGAGAGTGAAAATGGAACGCACATGCTATTTGTTTGTTTATATCAGTCTGTTCTTCTTCTCTGTCTTCCGGTTGTTGCCTATTTTGAATGACGAATACACACTACCGCCGCCTGCTGGTAAGGAGAGTTATTGCCACTCACGCATGTGCAGTTCGTACGTGCTCGGCTGAAGTCTTTGCGGTGATTTCCAGTGCGACACACGGCCAAGACGCAGGAGAACTCGTCGATGGAACTGTCGGTGTCGGGTGTCGGCGAGTTCTCTGGTGACTGCCTGGTGTGTCAGGGCCTTAAGGCCGCTACACACCCACCTGAGACCAAAGAACGCGTACCGAAGACGTCCCGACTTTTACGTCAGCTTCGTCGCCTGCGTCCGCTACGCCGCCCGCCTACGAACACACCGCAAATACTTCAGTCGACGAGTGGCAATAACTGTCCTTACCAGCAGGCAGCGGTAGTGTGAACAGCCAATCAGAGTGATTGGGAGGTGTGAAAATGTGCCGTAAAGAGACGACGGTGCGGGACACACCAACCTGAGTAGGGCGCCGCGAATGCCCGACTGCCTCTGATGGCCTCGGACTCCCAAAATCGGGTTGGTGTGTAGCCAGCTTTACGGAACCGACTAACTCCCCTTGTGTGTATGTACAGCTCTCAACATGCCCAGACTTGTAGTGATTTTCACCTCGTTTAATACTTTTCGCCTCATTCTGAAAGAAAGAAGTGAAATGTGCCAACGTGACGGCCGTCTTGGTGTGTGGTGCGAGACGGGAGATGTAGTTCATTGAGCGGTTTCACACAAAAAAAAGTGTTACTTCACAGTTTTACGACACATTTGAATTTTTTTGACTTGCAAAATTATCTTTTAAATTGACAAACATCATATGTGTAATTCGTGGCACAATTCAAACGGGATGGAAAGATAATCTTTCTCTCGCCATTGACTTCAATACATAGTTTTTCCGAAATGAGGTCCACCGGAAGGGGAGGGACTTCGCTTCTCTATAGATATTTGTGAATATTTTAAAGGAAACTTTCAACATGAACATTCAACATTTGTTGGGAGGAGTACAGATACAGTAAAGCTGTTAGAGAGAGGAACACGTTTTAATACCCCAATGCCAGGTGTCATGCCATTTAAACATGACTTACTATTTAATGTCATCAGACCATTTAATAAATAGGCACACTCTGCACTTAAATGCAACACAAGTCATTGAATCCAACAATGAGTTCACTGGGCAATAATTTAACCGACGGATGATGAATAGTTTTTTCAGCTGGATGGGTTATTCTGTAACCACAATAGCAGCGGTTCATCCAAAGTTAAATGTCTCAACAACTGTAAGATTGATGTTCAATACAATGTGCAAAGACGTTCATAGTCCCTCAAAGGACTCGCTGTAATTATTAGACTCTCACTCTTCCTCCGGTGCTGCCATGACATCAGGATGTGTCAACCTTTTATTGGCAATGTATTGTAGGTAATAAGCAATTCGTTTCTACAGCTACAACATTACAATTATACAGTCAACTTTGTACACACGATTTCAACTATTCCATTCAAATGCCCTTTTTGGAATCACCAATGTATGTCTTAGTTTTCTACAAATGTTTCAGTAATCTTTGTCAGGCAGATGTTTAATTTGATAGTGTTTGTTAATGCAGTCTCCACAGTTTTGCAATCTTCAGATGTCAGAACCGCATAAAGGGATATTACAGATGTTTTCAATGACTTCTCTGAAATCATTGTATTACTTATAGTAGATAGCAACTTAGGAGAAAGGCTCAGAAACTAAGCAATGCATTTCTGTGGCAGTGGGGAATACACACACTGCGGATAAAGACCGTTTTCAACTCCAGTTCAAACAATCCAAAGTTAGACTTAATTTTAAGGC